GGGGGAGGAAGGGAGGGAAGGAGGAGCCGGGCATGGGGTGGACACTGAATTTGCACTGGGGACGGGCAGTGGTGGCAATTCCTTCTTGCTGTTGGCAGTGAACAAAGCCCAGCTCGCCAGCACCAGGATGGGACACTCAGGAGATTTTTTGGGATTTTTTGGGATTTTTTAAGGACCTTTCCTCAGCAGGAACAAGCTCCTCCTCCAACAGGAGAAGACGAGGAGGTGCTGGGGGCGAAGTGAGGACACTTGGTTTGCGTTGTTGGTTTTAAGGAACACTTTAAATCTTGGCAAAGATCTGGGCCCTGGCGTGGCAGGAGGTGCTGCAGGCAGTGCTCGGACAAGGCACGGGAGATTCCGCTGTGCGTTCCTGACGGGAAAGGGGAGGAGAACCCAGCCAGAGCTTTCCCCACCCACCTAAAAAAAAAAAAAAAAAAAAAAAAAAAAAAAAAAAAAAAAAAAAAAAAAAAAAAAAAAAAAAAAAAACAACCCCTCTGTGATGCCAGGGATGGCCCGGAGCTCTCCCAACACTTTCCCTCTGCTCCCAAGGCAGCCGGGAGGGGATGGAGGAGAGCAGGGAGGTGGCAGAGCTTCACCCAGGCTGGGCTCACAGGCAGCAGGGGAAGGAGAAGCCCAAGCCCTGCCTGCTGCTCCAGAGGGACAATCCAGAGCCAACTCCAAGCAAAGGGACTCCCATTGGATTATTCCCAGCGGTGGAGGTGAGGCAGGGCTCGAGGGGACCTCCAAAATAATAATAAAAATAAAATAAAATAAAATAAAAGCCAGTTTTGGTTGTGAGGCCAAGCCTCCAGCAGCACCTCCTCTTGGAAGATCTGCAGCCACCCAAGCTGAACCTCCAGGAAAATCAGGGATCATCATCCACGGGCTTCCCTGGATCAGCTGGATTGATCCCTCCCAGGATTCAGGACCTGCTGTGCCCCTCAGTGTTCTCCACTCGGCCTCCCATGGCTTTTGGGCACAGCTGGAGCCTCCTCCTGGATCCCTCAGCGCTTCCTTGGAGCTGGCACTGCTGGACCCCAAGAGAACAGAAAAAAGGCAAAAAAATCCCTCTGCTCTGGAGGGCAGGAGCTGGGAGAGCTGCGAAAAATCCTCTCACCAAGAGTTTCCCCCCTGAGCAAGAGCAGCAGAGAGGCCTCTCCTAAAAATTCCTGCATCCCTCACACCTAGGGGGTTCTCCCCACCTTCTCCCTGCCAGTTTCACCTTTGCAGGAAAATCAGAATTTCTCCCCTCCTGCAAGGTGAGAGCCAAGCCACCTTCATTTCTCATCTCCCAGTTTGGAAACAGAGAGAGAAAAACGTGTGGGCACACACAGAAGGGGAGCTGGAAAAAGCCCAGGTACCATTTTTCAAAGGTGGAAGACTGGTGGGCATCCCTGGATCTCTCAACCTTGGAGTAAACACCTTCCCCTGGCTGGGATTTTTTTAGTTGATTCCTTAATTTTCACACTGGAGCAGTGACTGCCCCTCCCCACTTCCCACTGGGTAGGAGGGCAAATCCCACAAGCAAAGAGCAAACCCCAACATTAGAAGAAAAAAAAAAAACCTCTAAAAACCACTAGTGGAAAAAAAAATCCCACCAAAAAAAAATTAAAAAAAAAAATAAAATCAAGTCACAAGTGCACCCCCAGCCTTCGGGCTGAGGGTGTGTAAGACTACACCAATTTGAATTTCCTTGGAACATGCATTTTTCCAAAGTGAAAACCCCCTGGCTCCAGGTGCCTGGAGCCCAACTCTTGGAGAGGAAAGAACCTGGCAGCTTCCCCTGGGTGAGTACCACAGAAAATCAGGGATGGAGATGCACAATTGGCTTTTTTTTTTTTTTGGAGTTTTTTTGGCTTAGCCTCTCTCCCAACACCCAGCGTGGTGGTACTCTGGTTCCCACTGCTAAACAATGGTAAAAAAAAAAAAAAAAAAACGAGATCAACCTCCACCCACCCCCCAAAAAAAAACCCAACAACTCAGATGATGATACAGGCATGAGCATTTTGACACGGAGTGACCACAGTGTGTGACCAGTTCCTGGTGCTGGGATCACACAGGGCCGAGGTGGACGAGGACGAAGAGGAGGAGGAGGAGGAGGAGGAGGAGGGGGAATTCCAAGTTCTAAGGTCAAACTGATGTCTCCAGGCTGTGGAAGGGGCTCCCAGGCTCTGGAAAGCTGAACTCGCTCTCCACGGCGTTGTTGTTTCTGTTCAGGGCTGTTGACCCTGCCGGGTTGCCCCCACCTCGTTTTTGGAGTCCGTCAGGCTCGGGCTCGTCTTCGGTGCTGTCAAGGAATGGTGTCCGAGGCTCGTCTTCCTCCAGGATGAACTCTGGGTGAGTCATGAAGTTATGGATGGAGCTTCTGGATTCGGGTTTCTCGAGGCCTTCGTACAGGGAGCTACGGAACGCATTCACCACTTTGATCTGGGCGGAGCAGCGAGTGTGGGGGGAGAAAAAACAGGGGTCAGTCAGGGCTGCCAGAGGGCAGAGCTCGAGGGAGAAAGCGAAATTAAATGATGAGAGACGACCATCCAACAACAACAACAACAACAGCAACAAAAAAATAAAAAACAGCACGACCACAGCAACGAAATCACCACTGAACAAAAATGAGACATCTACGGTGAACTGGGGTCAGTCAGGCACTACGGGGGTGGTGGGAACCCACCAGCTACGGAGTGGCCTCAGAAGCTGCAAGAAAAGACACAGGACGACTCAAAACCACCACCCCAACATCACCACTCTGCATGGATGGAAGCCAAAAACGTGTTAATTAGTCGGTCGTTAAATCTCTGTACGTGTGGGTGTGTGTGTGCACGGGTGGACGGACACGAGGACAGCGAGGTGGGGCAACTACGGCTCCAAAAAGAGGTGGGTTAGGCAAACAGCGGGGGCAAAACCTACTGTGGGAGCCGTGGGTGGGCTTGGGCAGGGTCCTTCCTACACCTCTGGGAAGGAATGGGCCTTGCCAAAGGTGTCTCCAGGTTTTTTTGGTGGGAAACAGGAGATGCAGGTGAGGAGGAGGGAAGCAGATCCAGGTTCCCCACACTGCTGGAGCTCTGGATCCTTCCCTGCACCTGCAGGAGACCCAGGCCTTTCCAAAGGCAGTTCCACTGGCCTAGAAAAAGGGGAATTGGATGGAGCTGGGAACTAATTCAGATTCTGATGGATGTTCTAAAGGAATTCCAGCCATACACACAATCCTTGGAAAGCCCTGGGGCAGCTCCACCAAAATCCAGGCTCGAGCTGGAGATGCAGAGCCTGGTCTGGAGCACCAGGGAATGGCTCTGCCACCTCCACTGCCCTGGCAGGGAGAGCTCAGGGAACACACCTGGATGGTGGCTGGCCCTGCTCCCTCCACATCCTCTGGAATTCCAGCCTCAAACCCTTCCAGCTCACAGATTTTGGCTCAGGTGGGTGACAAGTGTCACATCCCAGCTCTGCCGGGGGTTTAGGGAAGCAATAAACGCCTCAGCCTTGTAGAGCAGAGCTCCTGTGGCACCAGGAGATCCCACAGAATCACCCCCAAAACCCTGGAGATTTGTCCAGCACCCCTGGAAGCAGCAGAGCAGAGCTGGATCCAGAAATCCCCTTGGTGGTGAGGGCTGTGGGCTGCAGGTGTGCTGGGGGAGCAGAGACCTCACCCCAAATCCTGGTCAGATGGGCTGGGCAAAACTGTCACTTCATTTAAACTATCCCTTTATTCAAACTGTCCCTTTTTTCAAACTGTCCCTGAGCATGGCACTCCTCCGGGGGGGAATTCACCCCCCAGCACAGCCAAAAAACCTCCTGAGGATCTCTGATCCCACAAAACCACAGCAGGGAATTCCTTCCTTGTGCCTGGAACCCTGGGGGTTCTCCCTGCCCCCCTCTCACCAGGGATGCCCTTCCAAGGGTGTTTTGCACCTGGCTCGGGATCAGGAGGAATTTCCTGGCACGGGCTGAGCTCATCCCGGCTGGAAGCAGCCCCAGGAGCTCCCGGCACAGGGAGCACACTGAGGGGATGATGAGCCAGTGCTGGGCCACCACTGGCCTGGAAAAATGGGAATTTGAGGGAGCTGGGAACCAGTTCAGAGCTGGATTTGTGCATTGATAACCCTGGATAAATTCAGGTGAATGCACAGGTCAAGGGACACCACCAAGGCCACCTCGGACTGATCATTTGTCACATCAGCAATGACTTGAGAACAGCAAGTCCTGACCCCTAAAAAACCAACAGAACCAAGGATAAATCCAACCAAGCCAAGGAGAGCCCAGGGACTGCCAGAGCCACGAGGAGGTGGCCAAGGAGAGCCCTGGGACTACCAGAACCACGAGGAGGTGGCCAAGGAGAGCCCTGGGACTACCAGAACCACGAGGGCGTGGCCAAGGAGAGCCCAGGGACTGCCAGAACCACGAGGAGGTGGCATCTACAAGCTCAGATTTAGGAGCAGCTCCACGGAAGCCTCATCTCTGTGGAGCAGAGCTCATGTGGGACCAGGAGATGTCCTCTCCCAAAGAATGACCTCCAGAGCCCTGGGGATTTGGGAGCAGCAGGGAAGGCTCCCTGGAGCAATTCCAGGGAATCTGTGCTCAGTCTCCTGCTCAGCTCCCCTCAAGGAGCTCCTGCTGCAGCTTCCCTCAGATTTTCCTCCTTCCTCCATCGCCTGCTGCGAGATGAATTCAGCTGTTCCCTCGTCAAAGGAAGGGAGCAGAGAGGAAATGTGTTGTGAATGAGCCAGGCAAAAGCTGAATTCCAGGCTGGAGCCGCCCACAGCCCGGCTCCCGCCTCCTCTCCACCTGGAACCTTCAAACGCAACATCCAGGCTTGGAACTCATCCCCCCTGAAACGTGAAACCTCCACGTGCTGGGCCAGCCCCACGGGAATTCCATCCCCTGCCCCTGGCTCTGCCCGGCTCCCTCCATCCAGGGCCAGAATTCCCGGCGGGAGCAGCTGGGAAAACCCGAGCATCATTCCTGAGACCTTTCCAGCAATTCCAGGAGGGACACAGCAAGTCCAGGCCTGGAAAAACTCATCCACGGGACAGGGACACCACGGATCTGCGTGGAGGGAAGAGGAGCTTTGGGAGAGAGGGAAGCAACAGAGGGAAACGAGAGAAATCCAGGCAAGAAAAGAGTGGGAAGATTTGGAGAGCTGCGTTAGCTCCTGGAGAAGTTTTCTACTCCCTCGCTGCAAAATGGGGAAAATATGGATCCACAAACTGCAAAAAAGCTGCATTTTGGTGTCACCCCCCCTCCCAAACCCCTCTGCTCTGAGCCCCTCTAAGCAGATTTGATTGCACTAGAAAATCCTGGAGGTTTTCCCAGATGCAGGCGGGAGCAGGAGGCAGCTGTGCTGCTCCAGCATCGCTGGGGTTAAACTCAATCAGCTGCCAGCCTGAGAGTCAGCTAAACAGAGAGAAAACAAAATTATCCCAAATTCTCTCTCCTCCCCCACAGTGCATAAACAGCAGAGCCTGAAAGCTCTCCAGAAAGTCACTGAGGGTATTTCTCTAATCAGAGGAGAACAGGGATAAGTGACTGTGCAATAAAAAAGCCAATTATCCAGCAGAGACACATTCCCTGCTCCCAGCCTGCAGACAGAACCCACGGCCACGTGCTCACCAGCCCCAACAACCAACACGCAGAGGGGTTTTACATCAGACAGGGCCTTTTTTTGGGGGGGTCTGCACACCCAGGATCCAGCATTCCCATTGATATCCAGCAGGAATGTGGTTTCCATGCCCATTTCCATGCACAGTTGTGTGTCTGCACACCCCAGGACCCAGCGTGTGCACAGGAGCCCACAATGAACACACACAGAGAGGGCTTTTTTTTGGGGGGTCTGAAAACCCAGTGCCAGATCCAGGATCCAGAATTCCCACCGGGATCCAGCAGGAATTGTTTTCCACCCTGGAACCCAGCGTGTGCAGAGCAGCCCACAATGAACACACAGAGGGGTTCTGCACCACACAGGGCCTGTTTTTTGGGGGGTCTGAAAACCCAGTGTCAGATCCAGGACCCAGCAGGAATTGTTTTCCATGCCCATTTCCATGCACAGTTGTGTGTCTGCACACCCTGGAACCCAGCAGATGCAGAGCAGCCCACCATGAACACACAGAGGGGCTTGGCACCACACAGGGCCTGGTTTTTGGGGGGGTCTGAAAACCCAGTGCCAGATCCAGGATCCAGAATTCCCACCGGGATCCAGCAGGAATTGTTTTCCATGCCCGTTTCCATGCAGAGCTGTGCCTGCACACCCCAAGATCCAGAGTGTGCAGAGCAAGGTGGGCACCGAGGATCCTCTGGCTGCCCTGGGCACCAGCAGAGCCCTGGGGATGTCCCCACAGAGCCCCAGGGATGTCCCCAGGGCAGCGCAGGGATGGCTCAGCTCTGTCCCCAGGCCATGCAAGTCCCCAGGTGGGGACAGAGAAGAGGGGACAGCAGCCCCGAGGTGTCACCAGCTGAGCCACGGGCAGGGCTGGCCACAGGCAGCACCCACAGCAGGAGCAAATCCTGCTTGTCCCTCCTCCCCGTGGCTCAGCCAGCCCTGGGGACAGTCCCTGCAGCCACTCTGCCTCCAAAAAAGATTTCAAGCCACGCCTCTGCCCTGCCCTGGGGTGTCCCAGGGCCGGGCAGAGGGAAGAACCAACAGGATTTGGGCTCAGCCTTGCCCTTGTCCCAGCAATGCTCGTGAACTCGGGGTTTTTTCAGCAAGAAATGCCAATTTTTGCCTCCCCCCCGCCATGAGGGTGGACTCAAACACCAGCCCTGCAAAGGAGGAGAAGAGGTAAAACTGGAGGAAGCACCAAGGAACGGGGAGGGGGGAAAAGGACCAGGAAGGTTCATAACTTTGTAACAGCATAAAAACGGAGGTTTTGAACGGATTCCTGCCCCATCCTTGAGGTTTGGGACTGAGTGTGCGAGTCAAGGCTGAGAGGGAGAGAGAGCAGGCGGGGTTAGGTGGGTGCAGGTGCTCTCTGTGGTTATTAGAAGTCATGCATTGTAATAGACCATCACTCACTGCCCGCAGGAGGAGATGCAGCAGCAGCAGCAACAGCAGAAGTGGTGGGAGTGGAATTGACGGAGGAAAGAGCTACATGGGTTGGGCTAGAAACATTTTTTACATCGTGGTGCTGGCTCACGATGGAAGGCTGTCTCCTGAGGGCTCCCTGCAAAGAGGAGGCGCCGGTCTGGAATGTGTAAACTACGTCCATCTGCAAAGAACCAGAGAGTGAGATAGCGACACCCGGCCAGGGACAGGGACAGGGACAGGGACAGAGGGGCGGGTGAGAGCAGGGAGGCCGGGCAGACACACAGACAGCAAGGAAAGAGGAGGATGGAGAGGCGAGGAAGAGGAGGAGGAGGAGGAAGAAGGAGAGAGCCCCCCCCACCCATCCCCACCCCATGCTCCCCCAGAACCCACGTGGGGTTTTGCTGGTGGAACAGAACGTCCAGCTCTGCCCTTCCCAGAGCAGCAGGGCTGATGTCCCCACCAGGAAAAGGCTGTGGTGGGAGGCAGAGGCAGAGGAAACACCCGGAGTTATCCTGAAAATCCGCAGGAGGAGCAGAGAGAGGCAGAGAGAGTGGGCAGAGGTGCGAGTGGGCAGCTGCTGGCAAAGGGCTCCTGGTGCCTCGGCCCTGTGGGGCCGCTTTGGGGACACCCCCGCAGCTCCAGGAGATGTTCCAGCCCCTCTGCCAGGCCTCAGGGCTGCTGGGGATGCAGAATCCTGGTGCCGGGGCCGTGGTTGCCCTGTGGATGTGTCCCAAGGCTTGAGGAACTGAGCAGCACCCGGGGGCCACCGTGGCTTCCTTTGTGGCTGGGTCATGCCGGGCCTGTGGCACCTTTTGGACACCTCCTCCAGCCCCAGCTCTGGCTGTGGAGCTGTTTCACACACGTGGCTTCGCTCCTGGTGTCCCTCCTTTCCCCTGGCCTGGGGGAAAAGTGCTCTGTGCCCTTTTCAGACACCCCAAGCGGGGACAGGAGCCCCCCTGATGCTCAGGCTGGACCCTCAAGAGGCTCCAGGACGTGCCAGCACCCAGGAGCATTTCTCATGTGGCAAGAGCTCACCTCAGCTCCACCACAGGGAAACACCTGGGCAGCTCCAGGGGCACCTCTGGCACTGCAGCCCTTCAGAGCTCCCAGATTTCCAGCACATCTGGACCACTTCCAGATGGAAGCTGGATGGATCCTGGAAGCTCCCAGAATGGTTTTTCACGTGAGTGAAGCACTGGTTACCCCCACAAAAAGCCTGGCTGCCCCTCGGTGCTCACAGCCAGCCAGGAATCCAGGCTGAGCTTCAGCCTGAAGCCATCCAGGTGACACCATCCAGGTGACACCATCCAGGTGACACCAGCCAGGTGACACCAGCCAGGTGACAGCTCGCAGAAGAGAAGGAAAGTTAACTCTGCCCCAGTCCCCGTCCCTGGGCCAGCTGTTTGTCACAGGGACAGAAAGGAGGAGGAACAAAGGTGACCCTGTGTGCCTGGGGACACCAGGACTTCCCTCCTTGGCACAGCTCTGCCCTCCTGGGCGAGTGAGGAGCACGGAGCTCTCCCTGCTCGGTGGGAGCACAAAACCACCCTTTTGGGGTGGGGAAAAAGGAAAACATCGGGGGGAAAAAAAACTCAGGGAAAACCACCTGATGTAAAAAGAAGATGGGAGACATTTTCCTCCCCTTGTGTGGGGCTGAGAGCTCCGGGTGTGGGGCTGACACAGAGGGGTGGCACGTGGAGTGTGAGCAGCGAGGGTCCCTTGCTGGCAGATCCCTGCTGGGCGCATTCCCACTGGGAACAGCATCCCAAGAGCACAGCAGAGCCTGGGGGGCTCCGTGGACCCCTCACAGCCCCCTGTGCTGTGGAGGTGACCATCAGCAGCACATCCAGCCTCGTGCTGGCCAGCAGGACAGTGACCAACCACAACAGCCTCCCCCCAACCCCAGCTACCCCCAAATCCAGCTTATCCCAGTTCCCTGCAGAGCCCCAGGCAGTGTTAGCCTGGCCTGGGAGGTGATGGAGCAGCAGCCATCACCTCTGTGCAGTCTGAGCCCCTGGAGAGGGAGACACAGGAGGAGACAGAGCAGGCAGAGCCCCCCCGGCCCCGCTGCCCCCCGGTACCTGGGTCTGGATCCTGTTGAGCCCCCGGAACCAGAGGATCTGCCCCCGCCGCAGCTCCATCTCCGCGTGGTCGATCTCGTCCACGTCCTCGGGCAGCTCCTCCTCGGGGATCTCCTCCTTGGTGATGCCGTGCCCAGCTTCCTTCAGGAACTTCAGGTGGCTCGTTGGGACGGTGCAGATCAGCTGGGGACATTCAGGGACACGGCAGGGACTTAGCCTGAGGTCCTGGGGGAGCTGCCAGGACCCAGCGGGGATGGAGCAGGAATGTCACTGTCACTGCTGGGTGTGTCCCTCTGCAGCACGGTGGGACTGAGGAGGGGATGAGAGACTTCCTCTCCTTTCCTCATCTTTCCTTTTTTTTCCTCATCTTTCCTTTCCTTTCCTTTCCTTTCCTTTCCTTTCCTTTCCTTTCCTTTCCTTTCCTTTCCTTTTCCTTTTCC